GAGACCATCCTGGTCAACATGGTGAAACCCCGTCTCTACTAAAAATACAAAAAATTAGCTGGGCATGGTGGCGCGTGCCTGTAATCCCAGCTACTCAGGAGGCTGAGGCAGGAGAATTACCTGAACCCAGGAGGCGGAGGTTGCGGTGAGCCGAGATCGCGCCATTGCACTCCAGCCTGGGTAACAAGAGCGAAACTCCGTCTCAAAAAAATAAAAAATAAAAATTTTTTTTTCAAGTACTCAGGTGTGGCGGCATTCCTGTGGCCCTAGCTACTCTGGAATCTAAGGCAGGAGGATCGCTTGAGCCTGGGAGGTCAAGGCAGCGGTGAGCTATGATCACACTGCCGCACTCCAGCCTGGGTGACAGGGCAAGATCTTGTCTCTGAAACATAAAAATGAAGATGTGTCTATTCCAGAGGTCAGGAAACTACAGCCCGTAGACCACAGCCACGTCAGGTCCATTCCCTGTTTCTATACAGCCGGAAATCCAAGAATGACTTTTGCATGCTGTTACTCTTACCAGAGGCTGGGTCTCCACGTCACCCAGGCTGGAGTGCACTGGTGCAATCCCAGATCCCTGCAGCCTTGACCTCCTGGGCTCAAGCAGTCCTCCCCACTCAGCCTCCTGAGTAGCTGGGATCACAGATACGCACCCCACCATGCCCGGCTAATTTAATTTTGTTTTCTGTACACATGGGGTCTTGCTATGTTGCCCAGGCTGGTCTCAAATTCCTGCACTCAAAGGATCGTCCTGCCTTGGCCTCCCAAAGAGATGGTGTTATAGGAGTTAGCCACTGTGCCCGGCCAGGATTTGTGTCCATAAATAAAGTGTCGTGGAAACTCAGTTGTGTCTAATTCGTTTTTTTTTTTTTGAGATGGAGTCTCACTCCGTCACCCAGGCTGGAGTGCAATGGCTCCACCTCAGCTCACTGCAACCTCCGCCTCCTGGATTCAAGTGATTCTCCTACCTCAGACTCCCAAGTAGCTGGGACTATAGGCGCACACCACCACACCTGGCTAATTTTTATATTTTTGGTAGAGTTGGGGTTTCACCACGCCAGCCAGGCTGGTCTTGAACTCCTGACCTCAGGTGATCCACCCGCCTCGGCCTCCCAAAGTGCTGGGATTACAAGCGTGAGCCACTGCACCCAGCCAGATTGTGTCTAATTCTTTACATATGGTCGGCTGCATTTGCATGATAAGGGCACCGTTCAGGGCCACAGTCCTGACTGGCTTGTGAACATGAAAATATTTACCACCAGCAGGTGCAGCGGCTCACGCCTGTAATCCCAGCACTGTGGGAGGCCAGGGTAGGTGGGGCACTTGAGGCCTGGCGTTTGGGACCAGCCTGGCCAATATGGTGAAACTCCGTCTCTACTAAAAATACAAAAATTAGCTGGGCGTGATGGTACACCCCTGTGGTCCCAGCTTCTAGGGAGACTGAGGCATGGGAATTGCTTGAGGGGCAAATGTTACAGTGAGCCGAGATCGCACGGCCACATAACATACCTGTGGTCCCAGCACTTTGGGAAGCCTAGGCTGGAAGATTGCCTGAAGCTAGGAGTTCGAAGCCAGCCTGGGCAACACAGCAAGATCCCCTCTCTACAAAAAATAGAAAACTGAGCCTGGCGTGGTGATGCATACCTGTGGTCCCAGGTATGGTGGGCTGAGGTGGGAGGGTGGATTAAGCCTGGAAATTTGAAGTTGTAGTGAGCCAAGATCGCACCACCGCACTCCGGGTGGACAACAGGGGGACACGCTCTCTCTGTTTCTGTTAAAAAAAAAAAACAAAACTCTCTCTCTGTTAAAAAAAAAAAAAAAAAAAATCAGCCCAGGTGCAGTGGCTCACACCTGTAATCTCAACACTTTGGGAGGCCAAGGCAGGCAGATCACCTGAGATCAAGAGTTCACGACCAGCCTGGCCAACATGATGTAACCCCGGCTCTACTAAAAATACAAAAATTAGCCAGGCTTGGTGCTGTGCTCCTGTAATCCCAGCTACTCAGGAGGCTGAGGCAGGAGAATCACTTGACCCCGGGAGGCGGAGTTTGCAGTGAGCCGAGATCAAGCCATTCCACTGCAGCCGGGGAGACAAGAGCGAGATACCATCTCAAAAAATAATAATAATAATAATCAGGGATCGAGTGTGAAGGTCAGGAGGAGAACTTTGTGTTTCAGAAGAACTGCTGCAGGTGTTTTAGTGTGTGTGTCGCCAGGGATGACGGAATCTGATGAACATTCTAAGGGACCCCCTGAATTGCTATGAACGGCCCACAGAGGGGCCAGGGAGGGAGGAAGGAGACCAGTCCCTCCAGAGGGGACGCTGGTGGCCTGTGCAGAGCTGCAGCTGCCCGCATGTGAGGAATGCCTGGTTTAGGAATCTGTTTTGAACACTGAACCAGCAGAAATTGCTGAATGTGACAGAAAAACAGTCTGTGGTCACAAATTCTTTCACGCACCTCCCTTCAAAAGATGTCACTCAGGCCTGGCGCGGTGGCTCATGCCTGTAATCTCAGCAGTTTGGGTGGTCGAGGTGGAAGGATTGCTTGAGGTCGGGAGTTCGAGACCCGCTTGGGCAACATAGACAGACTCCCTCTGTACAAAATATACAAAAATTAGCCAGGCATGGTGGTGCGCGCCTGTAATCCCAGCTACTCAGGAGGCTGAGGCAGGAGAATTGCCTGAACCCAGGAGGCGGAGGTTGCGGTGAGCCGAGATCGCGCCATTGCACTCCAGCCTGGGTAACATGAGTGAAACTCTGTCTCCAAAAAAAAAAAAAAAAAAGAGGGAGGAAGGGCCCCGAGCCTCTAGATGGAAAGCGGGGAAACGGACTCTCCCCTGGAGCCCCCATGAGGGCCCTGTCCTGCCCACAGCTTGATGGGGAGCCCTGTAAGATGGATCTCAGACTTCTGACTTCCAGAACTGTGAGGTAGAGTCAGTATTCCATTTCTTAATTTTTAGAGACAGGGCCTGCCACCCAGGCTGCAGTGCGGTGGCACAATCACAGCTCACTGCAGCCTCCACCTCCCGGGCTCAGGCGATCCTCCTGCCTCAGCCTCCTGGCCTGCTAGGATTACAGGCATAAGCCGTCACACCTGGCTAGTTTTTGTTTATTTTTTGTGGAGATGGAGTCTCACTGTGTTGCCCAGGCTGGTCTGTAACTCCTGGGCTCAAGTGATCCTCCCACTTCAGCCTCCCCAAATGCTGGGATTACAGGTGAGAGCCACCACACCCAGCCAGTTACTCAGTGTTCCTCTAAGCCCACAAGTGTGGGGTACTTTGTTATAGCAGCTGTGGGAACCTCAGACTTACTCTTTCTAGTAATGGACCCGAGTAACCCACGGGAGCCCTCACCCTCATGCAGCAGTCCAGCCAGCAGTCAGATTTGATTTTTTTGTTTTGTTTTTTGAGACAAAGTCTCACTCTCTTGCCCAGGCTGGAGTGCAATGGCACAGTCTCAGCTCACTGCAGCCTACACCTCCTGGGTTCAGGCAATTCTCCTGCCTCAGCCTCCTGAGTAGCTGGGATTACAGGCACCCGCCATCATGCCCAACGAATCTTTGTATTTTTAGTAGAGCTGGGGTTTCACCATGTTGGTCAGGCTGGTCTCAAACTCCTGACCTTGTGATCCGCCCGCCTCAGCCTCCCAAAGTGCAGGGATCACAGGCGTGAGCCACCACGCACGAGCAGCTTGGCCCTTGCTTATGGGAAGAGAAGCGCCCTCAGCCTCTGACCCCGTGTTTCTGTCTTCTTGGGTGGCATCCAGATTGCTGTCTGCACGTGTCTGAGCCATGGAGTCCACCGTGGCTGACGTACACCTCGTGCCCAGGGCAACCAAGGAGGTCCCCGCTCCGGACGCCGCGTGCTGTCGAGCAGCCACTGTTGGTGTGGTGGCCACCAGCCTTGTCGTCCTCACCCTGGGAGTCGTTTTGGGTAAGTAGCTATGGGATTGGCTGGGTTTGCAAAACCAGGGCACATGTGCAAAGTCACCGGGAAGCAACTCGATGGTGTCTTCCGTGGTCATGAGTCGGAGGGCAGTGTCTACGCGTGGAACAAAGGCTGCGCCAGGTCAGTCGTGTGGACGGGGGGCGGAGCGGGTGACTGCCTCCCTGTGTCGCTTTTCCCAACGCAAGAAGCTCCTGAAGGAAATTTTCACAGCTGGGGTGACAGACAGAGAAACAGGGAAATGACCTTGGTTTAAATTTTGGCAAATCAGAAAAGTACCCAAAAGTATATATTTTTTTAAGACGGGGTTTCACCATGTCGGTCAGGCTGGTCTTGAACTCCCGACCTCAGGTGATCCAACCGCCTTGGCCTCCAAAGTGCTTGGATTACAGGCGTGAGCCACCACGCCCGGCCACCCAAAAGTATTTTTATTTTTATTTTTTATTTTTTAATTTTTTTTTTTTTGAGACGGAGTTTCGCTCTTGTTACCCAGGCTGGAGTGCAATGGCGCGATCTCGGCTCACCGCAACCTCCGCCTCCTGGGTTCAGGCAATTCTCCTGCCTCAGCCTCCTGAGTCGCTGGGATTACAGGCACGCGCCACCAAGCCCAGCTAATTTTTTTTTGTAGTTTTAGTAGAGACGGGGTTTCACCATGTTGACCAGGATGGTCTCGATCTCTTGACCTCGTGATCCACCCGCCTCGGCCTCCCAAAGTGCTGGGATTACAGGCTTGAGCCACCGCGCCCGGCTTATTTATTTTTTTTTAAGACAGGGTTTCACCATGTCGGTCAGGCTGGTCTTGAACTCCCGACCTCAGGTGATCCGCCCGTCTTGGCCTCCAAAGTGCTTGGATTACAGGCGTGAGCCACCACGCCCAGCCACCCAAAAGTGTTTTTAAAAAACTGAGCAATTGCCAGGCATGGTGGCTCCTGCCTGTCATCCCAGCACTTTGGGAGGCTGAAGCAGGCAGATCACCTGAGGTCGGGAGTTTGAGACCAGCCTGGCCAACATTGGGAAAACCCTGTCTCTACTAAAAATGCAAAATTAGGGCTGAGCACGGTGGCTCACGTCTGTAATCCCAGCATCTTGGGAGGCTGAGATGGGCAGATCATGAGGCCAAGAGATCGAGACCAGCCGGCCAACATGTTGAAACCCCATCTCTACTAAAAATACAAAAATCAGCTGGGCATGGTGGTGGATCCTGTAATCCCAGCTACTCAGGAGGCTGAGGAAGGAGAATTGCTTGAACCCGGGAGGTGGAGGTTGCAGTGAGCCGAGATCCTGACTCTGCAGTCCAGCCTGGTGACAGAGAAGACCGTGTTTCAGTGAATAAATAAAATTCAATTCCTGAACCCCACCAGCCACACTCCAACTGCCCTGTGGCCACGTGTGACCTGTGGTTGCTGCAGTGAGCGGTACAGATCTGGAAGATTCTATCATCGCAGAAAGATCTGGTGGGCAGTGGAGGTGTGAGACGAGATCACGGTGCGGTCACTGGCTTCCCACAGCATGTTAAAATCACCTTTTTACATTTAAATGATGATGAGGTTGATTTTATGATGATAAATGTTCATTCTGGCCGGGCGCAGTGGCTCACGCCTATAATCCCAACACTCTGGGAGGCCGAGGCGCGTGGATCGCCTGAGGTCAGAATTTCGAGAGCAGCCTGGCCAACATGGTAAAACCCTGTCTCTACTAAAAATAAAAACAAAACCAGAAAATAGCTGGGCGTGGTGGTGCACGCCTGTAATCCCAGCTACTCGGGAGGCTGAGGCAGGAGAATTGCTTGAACCTGGGAGGCGGAGGTTGCCGTGAGCCGAGATTGTACCACGGCACTCCAGCCTGGGCGGACAGAGTGAGACTCGTCTCAAAAAAAATGTTAATGTTAACATTTAAATGATGATAATTAACAGCAATTTTGGGGGAAATGCTCTTGGGTGGCAGAATGGTAAGCTGGTGATCTGAGAATCTTCCTGATTTTTTTTTTTTTTTTTTTTTTTTGAAACAGAGTCTTGCTCTGTTGCCCAGGCTGGAGTGCAGTGGCGCGATCTCGGTCCACAGCAACTTCTGCCTCCCGGGTTCAAGAAATTCTCCTGCTCAGCCTCCCGAGTAGCTGAGACCACAGGCACGTGCCACCACACCCAGCTGAGTTTTGTATTTTTAGTAGAGATGCGGTTTCACCACGTTGGCCAGGCTTGTCCTGCATTTCTGACCTTGTGATTCTCCTGCCTCAGCCTCCCAAAGTGCTGGGATTACAGGCGTGAGCCACCGCAACCGG